GAAAGTTGGTGCTCATAAACTGCTAAACTAAAAAAGTCTAAAGTAAGGTCACTTCATTGTAAACACCAAAACAAATTCTCTTTGTCTCATCATTATTCAACGATATTCTACTAAATTAATGCAAAATTAGGAGTTTGCATCTTCTCCCCGTGCAGCATGGGTTCTCCAGCTTCCTCCCACAAGTCCAAAAACATGTTGAGGTTAAGTGGTGATTGTAAATGTGTCCCCTGCCTTCGCCCTAAATCAGCTGGAATAGACTCCAGCCCCCCCTGCGACCCTAGTGAGGATTAAGCGGTGTGTAGATAATGGATGGATGGATGGATAATGCAAAATTATGCAGCAACTAGGCATCATGAAACTGTAGAACATGAGATGTAAATTTCTCAATTATGGTTTTAGATTTTTTGCACAAAAGACAAAACAGGAAAAATGATGCACAGAACAGACGTTAACCCCTTCAACCCCAAGCTGTTCTTGTGTGTTTTTTTCTCCCTTCATCTTTACTCACTATGAGCTCATTTTTCACTGCAATATAAAGTCCTGTACCTTTATGGAAACAGCACAACCATGGCTAGAAGCAGAGAGAACTCAAAAATGGCTTTTATGCAGCTTAACAAAGTAAATGCAAAGAATGCCATGTATTATAAAAAACGATAAAAATTAAACTTTAATTTCTTGATTATTTATTATACTAAAGTAAAAAAAAAAAATGCAATTAACATGTGGAACATTGTGCTGGCAGGTGTAACCAATACTGGAGTATTTTTACTTTGCTATAGATTTTGTTCTACTTAGAATTCTAATTTGTTTCCAAACTTGTTCATTTGTGCCTTGTGAAAAGCACAGCCTGCAGCTCAGCATTTTTTGGCTTTTTACAGAGTCCAGGACATATAGAATTATGTGGTCAAAATATCACGTTTTTAATCTTAGATTTGGTTCACTTTCCTGACTAAACAGATGAGTAGGTAATTCACTGTCCAAAAGCTGAATATCTAATGATTCTGTGTGTTTCTACAGTTTGTGTTGCTGATAAATGGTGTCCTTTTTTTGATTTTAAAATGTTTTAAAAATGACATAATTTTTCAAACCTGTTGGAGGGTTTCAGATGTTTATTGATTTGCTAGACAAGAGTGCAGTTTAATTTCAACACATTTATATTCAACATATCTACTTTTTTCAGAGTTCTAGCAGATTCAAAATTCCATAGTGTCAGTGTACGAAGGGGAAAACAGCGACTGGGAGAAGTTTAACTGGATAAGATGGATTGATGGATAAAAAGCCACAATTTCATTTGTAAAACTTGTATAACTGAGCAAAGTAAAAGGTATCATTACCACCTCATTCATTTTACTTAGACAGACCACTCATGTGAGAAAAATCCAAAACAGAAGTGGTGGCGAAGCAGTCAGCTTTGTTGTCCCAAGTTTTCAATCTAAGCCCTGCTGCTTCATCTGTGTGTCAAGTTTTAATGTTCTCTCTGGCTATATGTGGATTTCCTCCCACAGTCCCAAGACACACACGGCTCAGGAGAATTGAAAACTATGAGCTGTCCATAATTGTGAGTGAGTTCATCTGTCTGCTTGTTTTCCTCTTTGACAAGCTGGCAACCTGTGCTGGGCGCCTCGCTGCCTTTTTCTCAGAGCATGCTGGGAAAGACTCCAGATGCCTTCATTTATTCTAAGTAGGGAAAGTTAAAATGGAAGGAGGGTACAGCTACACTGTAAAAAAGTCTGTGCAAAAAAAAGTTTAAAAAAAAAAAAAAAAAAAAAAAAGGTTGAATACTGTAACATTTTAAATGCACTGTAAAAACCGGGAAAATAATAGAAAATATCTGTAATAAAGTGATATTTTTATTGGATTCAAATACAGTAAAACAGTGTATTTTGCATTTGCACATTCATGTAGTAATAAATTACTATTTGCAAAAATTTGCATACAATTTTGGCCTATTTTGTTTTAATTTTTTTTGTAAAATAATAACTTTTTCTTTGATTTTAATGGTTGTTGTCTGTAATTTAGCAAAGCACAGAAAATCAATAATATACATTTTTTTGTCTCAATTAACAACTAATATCTGTAAACTAAAAATACTTTTGCTGATTTAAAAACTGAAAAAAATAAATAAATGAATAAATAAATAAACAAGAAGAAAAAAAATGTAATTTTATGGTCAAAACATTGTTAAAGAAGACACAGATTGGTGTTGTGGCCATTTTGGACAGTTTTGGTCTGTTTTTAAAATTGTAACATGCAAATCTTTTTTCTTGTGTGTGATTTTGGTAGTTATTATCTGTAATCTAACAGAACAGGTAAAAACTCTAACATTTCACTAAACAGTTAAAAAAAAGATTTAAAAACTGCTCGAAAAACTTTTTTTCTTTTCTTTTTTTTTTACAGTGTGAATAACCTCCGCCATGTAAACGTCACAGTAATGCTTTCTCCTGCTGAATTTTTCTCTCAGCTGAAACTGAGCAGCGCTGAATCACAAATGAATTCTGTATTTCACACCAACAGACGTGCAGCCCGCAGAGCGTGGACTCATGTTTTTGATCCCACACTGTGTTTTGACCACGAACACACCAGCCACCTTTGGTACAGAGGTGAGGAAATACAACACTGTAAGAGACACATAGCGCAGACACACACACACACACACACACACACACACACACACACACACACACACACAGGCAGCTGGTGTGCAGCCAGAACCAACAGTCCTCAGCTCTGCCTCGCAGCAGCATCACCTCCTGACTTGCTGTAAGGACAACAAAGGATAGAGTGACAGAGCGAGTGCATGGAGGTGCTGCAGAGAGAGAGGGAACACATAATGAGTGAGTGGGTGAAATAAGTAGAGGAGAACTAAAGTCATGAACATCTACACTTACTGCACTGTTTTACAACCAGGAGGGGAGTCACTCATGGTGGGATATATGTGTCTATGCTGTCCTTCACACACGGCGACAGGACAAATGAGTGACAGGCCTGGACGTCTGAGGCTACAGCTCACAGTGTTTTATGAATAGCTATGGATATATATATATTTTGTAAAAGTAAGTAAAAATGAAATCTGTTCATCTGACATTGTGATGGTGCATTAACCCTCCTGTCACATTGTCCTCACTGAGGGCTCATTTGTCACTGTGATATCAAGTCCTGCACCTCTATGGAAACAACACAACCATGGCGAGAGAACTGCAGTATGATAGAATTATAACAACATAAAGTATATACAAAAAAAGAAAAAACTAAAGCTACATTTCTATGATCTTCCATCCATTATCTATACACCGCTTAATCCTCACTAGGGTCGCGGGGGGCTGGAGTCTATTCCAGCTGACTTAGGGTGAAGTTAGGGGACACCCTGGACAGGTCACCAGTCTATCACAGGGCTACACTTAGAGACAGACAACCAAGCACACTCACATTCACACCTCCAGACAATTTAGAATCACCAATTAACCTCAACATGTTTTTGGACTGTGTGGGAGGAAGCCAGAGAACCAGAAGAGAACCCACGCTGCACGGAGAGAACATGCAAACTCCACGCAGACAGATCCTGGTGCCTCCACCGGGACGTGAACCGGCAACCTTTGAGGCAACAGTGCTACCAACTGCGCCACCTTGCAGCCCTCTATGATAATTTATTTTAGAAAAAAAATCAAATGTAATCAATATGTACAACATTTTACTAAGTGCCCACAGGATGATGGAAGATAATGGAGGCTCTACATACTACAGATATTTTAATAATTACACTTTTAATTTGTTTCTATATTTCTCTCCTATTTGTCTCCCACAAATACCACCAAAACCCTGCCTGAAAGGTTGGTTATCTTTAAAAACAAAAACTAAATAAAAAACAAAACAAAACGACACCAATTATCAGTGCAAGACAAAGTAAGTTTCCAACTACAAAGACACAAATTAATTTTAGAATTTTTATGAATTAAAAAAATATATAGAGAGAGAGTCACCATTTTGTTTCCAGGAAACAACTGAATTGTTTCTTTTTTTTTTCTTTTTTCTTTTCTTTTTTTTTTTTAATTTGTAAAATAAATAATAAAATAAATTCAACTTTCATTTTTTCTTTTTTATAATTCATGCCATTCTAGCTGTGTCATACTGCACCTGAGACATTTCTAAGTTCTCTCTCTTTCTATCCATGATTGT